AGGGCATGACGATGGGTAAAGGGCGTCTCCGGGCGGTGCGGCGGCGCATCTCGACCTTGAGCTTGTGGAACCCAGCGGCCGAGTTTCCAGCGGCGCGCGCGCGAGTCGAGGGTGTGGGCCCGCCAATACGGCCAGACGGCGGACCACAGATTGCGCGAGTTGAAGGCGACGGCTGTGGCGTGGCGGGTGCGCGCCTCCGAGGCCGCGGCCGTGTGCCTGTGCCAAGCGGTAAAGACCCTGCGGAGATGGAGTGAGGACGCGGCAGTGAGGGCGTGCATGACTGCAGCCGACTGCTTGTGGTAGCGGTCGAGAAAGGCGTCCCACTCGGGGATAGGCTCGGCAAAGGTGGGGTGCGGAGCGCCAGCGCGCTCGGCGGCGCGCATGTGGGCGTAGCGGTACCACATGACAAAGGTAAGGCCAGCAAAGTTGACCGAGTATGCGTCGCGGAGGAGGACCATGGCGTGCTGGATGGCGGCAGCCCGGCGCTTACGCATCTGGACCCATTGGTACCAGTGCTGGATGACGTTGCGAGTGGTCCGGAGCTGGATCATGGCGCGAAAGGCGACAATGACCCTGTGGACCCGCGAGCCCGAGTCGATGGAGACGCCAGCAAGCTTGAACACCGGATTCGAGGCCTGCATGGCGAGAAAGACCTCGGTGCACTTGTACCGCTGCCGGTTGTAGACGACTTGAAACTCGAGGGCGCGAAAGGCTTTGGACATCAGCCGCAACCGGTTTGCCCGCTCCGAGACAACAGCCTGGACCCAGGCCGAGAAGACCGGGCGGAGGAAGGCTGCAGTTGCGGCGACGCGATCGTTGATGGCGGTTACCAGTTGGAGACGGCGAACAGTGGCCCGCCACCACTGCTGGATCCGCCGCGCCGCCCGCGATGACTTGGCAGTTCGGCGATGAAGGTCGAGGAATGCATCGATGTCGACGTCGACCGGCGGTCCGCTCCGCGAGCCAGCCGCGAGCTGCAGCCGCGCATCGCGGCCAGCCCTGAGGCCAAGCGCGGTGGCAGGTCGCCGGCGTGCGACAGCCGAGCTGGGCCGCGAGCCAGCACGGGCCGAGCCAAGCACCGACGCAACTTTGCGAACTAGCGGTGCGGTCTGAGGCGGGAGTGGCAGCGTTTTGGCCGAGTCCGGTGAGTACGGCAGAAGATCGTGAGGCAGCAGCGGCGACGGCGGTGGGGTCAAAGGTGGCTTGGCTGCTGCAGACGGGCGATTGCGGCGGCGCAGCGGCGCAGCACTCATCGGCCTCCTTCGCCCAGCTTTTGACTTGCTTCCAGCAGTCATTCGAGGCCCGCGGGCGTTTCGCGAAGCAGATATGGCGCGAGCAGCGACCGCAGGCGATGCCGGCCGAGCAAGCTTTCGCCCACCACGAGAGCGAGAGCTGCCAGCCTCGGCCTCTGCAGCTTTGCCGACAGTGAGCCTCGGCGATACTGCCGACAGCAGTTGTGATGGACGGGCGCGATGAGAGCGGATGGGCGAGGAGGTCGGACGCGACGAAGACGGAGACGGAGAAGGAGACAGAGGCAGTGACGGCTGACCGAGCTCAGAGCCAATGGTCACGGTTGTCAGGCGAGAAGGAGTATGGCGGGGAGGGAGGACACGGCGAGGACGGGCAGCATGAGGTGGCTGACTGGTATGCGGGAGTTGTGGGTAGTGTGGGTCGTTGGGGTCACGAGGGGATGTGGCCATGGCCCCAGGGTGGGTGGGGTGTGGGTGTGGCTGTGGCGGGAACTCGGGCGGGCGGCGTTGGCGCGCGGCGGGCGACAGGCGGTGTGGAACCGGGGGAAGCGGCATCGTACAGGGGGGGGGGGATCTATAAGGAATTGCGTGTTGGGGATGGGAAGGGATGGGTTGTGTGTGGGGGTGGGGGGGGGGGGGGGGGTCGGGGGGGTTGGGTTGTTCGT